TTATCGTGTTTCCTCTATACAGAGGAGTAAACAACAGTGCTGTGTTCACTTTCTACTGCTGTTGCCACAAACCCCTTTATTAGATCCCAGTTTGGGAGATCCGAAGCCCAGCGTGATGTGTGCTCCTGCACAGGTCTCCGAAGACAGTGATTAAGGTGTTGGTCAGGCTCAGCTCATCTAGAAGAGCTAGGGGAAAATCTGCTTCTGAGTTCATTCTTTTTGGCAGCAGAATTCATTTCCTCCTGGTTGTAGGACTGAAGTCTTTTCTTGCAGGCTGTCAGTAGGGCCCAATCTTAGCCCCTACAGGCCATTCATGTCCTTTGCCACATGGTCCCCTCCCTTTTTAAGTCAGCAGTGGCATGTCAAATCTTTATTGTACTTTGAACCTTTGCCTTCCTCTTCTTCCTTCCATCAGCTCAAGAAAACACCCTGCTTTAAGGGAATGTGGGAGTCAGTCAGGCTCCACAGATACTTTGGCTATTCCAAGGGCAACTGGTCTGGGACTTTAATTACATCTGTAAAAGTCCTTTGCAGCAGCACCCATATTAGCACTGGATTGAATGACTAGGACAGGTAGGTAGACACCAGGGCTAGAAATCTTTGGAGGCTATCTTGGAACTCTGCTTACCACAGGCACCTACTTCCTCAAAGGTTGCAAGCCCTAGATTACCAACTATACAAAAAGCACCTGGCACAAGGTACATTAACAAGCAGGTTTCAGGTAGGGGAATTTGCAAGTGAAATATTAGCCATATGGATCCCACAGTCGATGAGAATTTGGATGGGTTAAAAGGAGGTTGATAGAGGCTGGGAACAAGGCCCCAACCTCTTCCTCCAGGTTGAAGGGCTTTGTTTGAATCGGTTTAAAAATGGGTTCCTCTCTGGGTGAGGAACAATGCTATGCTCCCTGGTTTATGTCTTGCTGGGGTCATGGCAGTGAGGACCAAGCTTTGGAATGAAGGAGAGGAAACTTGAAAATGGATAGGCTTCTGATTATCAGCCTGCTCAGAAACCATCTGCTTGGGGCTTTTGATTTTGAGATGGGTGGGGAGGTTTCCCCTAGCAATGAGTCTAGGGATTCAGAAACCAGTAAAATAATAGCTTTTCCAAAACCAGCCATGCCAGGCTCTAATTGGGAGAAATGGGAATGGATCTCCACTCCCTTTGCTAACCACATACACGCTGTGGCAGAGGAACGTTTCCAAATTGCAGGAGGCCACTTCTTTTCTCAGCTTGGCATCATTGGTGGAAGAATCAGAAAAGAGGCCAAGGGCCTAGGAACCTGGACTCCTATCCACTCTGTAGTTGAACTGGCCACAAGAAATCCACTTTCCAAATGGCCTGGAGCAGTCATAAGACAAGCCAGAGAGAGAAATACAAAGGTAGGGTGAAGAGGGAAAGAGGGAGTGAAATAGATCATTCTGTTCATTCCATGGATGCCATGGGGAAGGCACTTATCTTTCCCAAACCCCCAGACCAGACAATTCTTATTTCCAGCTAAATTCTTTCTTCATCTTTCCTGGCTTTTTCTTCCCCCTCTCCTCTATCTGTCTTGGTTTCTGGATCTTCTCAAAGCTTCCCCCAGGAAAACTTCAGCCAATTTACTCCCCTTGAACAGCTGTCATTTTTGAAAAGTTGCCCAGTCTTTTTGCTGTGATTTTCAGAGAGGAGAGGAGAGAGAGAGATTGATTGATTCAGGGCCGGGCTTCTTCTTTCAGGGATGGCCAGGAAGGAGGAGAAAGGACGGCAGAGGCTTCTGATGGGAGGACACACACATACACACACACACACACACACACACACACACACACACGCACACACGCATGCACTCACACATGCTTACTTGTGAGAAATACAGAATCTGTCACTGCAGGACAGCATCACCTTCCTAACAACTGAAGGAAGAAAGGCAGAGAGCAGAGAATTTCAATTTGCAGTGTAGCTGTTGGAATTTGTACACGAGGGAGCCATGACCCTATTTGACTTTGTCTGTCAAGGCCAGAGGGTTACAGAGGAACTGACCACAGACATGTGGGCAAAATTCCAGGCCATGCTAGCCAGTTTTAATATGTCTAAGGACAGATGTTGTCTGGTGCTGGGCGGCTGGTAGGCCAGGGAAGAAATCTGAAGCTCAGCCTCTAAGCATGCTGGGATACAATGAGAATGGTTACCTGTGCTCCAGTAAGCCTGGCTGCCATCATTGCTCATTAAGGATCAGGACTAGGAGCATCACAGTTGGGGCTCATTAGTTTATGGCCTGGAGTAGGGACGATGACATCTCCTGGGTGCCTGTGAGCCTGGCTCTTCGAAATTCCAGACAGGTTGTCATCATGGCTGATGGAGCCTGGCCTTGTTGGCTTGCTCGCTGTGATCAGCAGCTGATGGTCTGACAGAAACACTTTCCCTGATTACATTTTCAACTTGAATGGTGCCACACTTGGTAACCTTGTGAGGGGAAAGGCAGGGAGCAAGGGGAGCACTTGCTGAAAACTTCAGTGTCACAGAGCACAAGCACGGATAAACCACCAACAGGTGGCATGGCTTCTGTATTTCAATTTAACTAAATATTGACATCCAATTGACAAATATTGATCAAGAGCCAAATCATTCACAACAGTACAAGCTCCATCATCTACTGTGTGAAATCAAAAAGGAATGTGGGAGGGGAAGTAAGCCATTACTATCTCTTATTGGTAATGAGTTTGAGAGGTAGAAAGATACTTTCTGACTTCCTACCGATATCGTACTTCTTACTGTGGAGGTTTTAAAAAAAGAAAGAAAGAAATCACTCAGACTAATGATCTCTTCTGGGAAAGTGGTAAAGAACGCTGATTTGGTTTATTACCTGCATCTTTTCTGGTGTGGCAGTTTGCTGATACTCTTATTTTGGACAGCGGTTAATGTTAGGTAATTATTGGCATAGAAGCATCCACATATGTTTATAAGTCATTTTGTTTTAAATACTGGCAGGGTTGTGGCTATAAAGAGGCCGTCTGCATAAGAGAAAGACAATTAGCCAGATCATTCATTGTTTCTTTCTTTGTTGTCCATTCTAATTATTCATCTGCAGGGGAGATCCAGAGTCTTCTTTGGCCCTGCATGCTGTATCAGGCTTCATCAGCACTTTCTTATGGTCCAGTGTCTAAGTGGGGGAACACATTTTCTTAAGGGCCTGAGCCTCTTACAGTAGAATTTTGGGTGTGCTTCACAATCACACTAGGTTCCATTTTTAACACGGACACAGTCACAACACATCTGCTTGTATAACCACCCTGTTGACACAATACAGTTGGAGTGGAGGGAGGGTGTCCTTTGCCTCTGAAGTCCAGTTCCAACTTAATAAGTAAGTTGACCCTCCTCTGTGGGCCACAAACCTTGCTTGGGAGACTGCCGCACTCAACCACCAGCACGAAACTGCTCTTTGGGTTCTGAATACAGCAAGGTGCATGCCACCAGCCCCCATGAATCCTTTATTAAATGACCAATGTCATTTCTGGTCAGTAAAAATTTAAAAACACATATGGTGTAAAACTCAAGCTTAAAATTGGTTGTAGAGCTTGGTGAGAAAGATCTCCAGCCCCAAAGTAATACGGGGAAGTTAAAGGCCACAGAAATGTGGCTTAATGAATGCTCATCCACATTTACAAAGCTGCTCATAGTCCCTTATTCTCAAATCTGCAATAGAGGTTTATACAATTTTCCTGAGGGCAAAACTGCCAAGTTCACTGATCTCGATTCCCATGTTATTGATGAAATAAAGGTAATTCTGAAAATGATAGTGTCTGAGAAGCAATCTCAAATTGCCTTTTTATTGCATGCAATTAGCAGTGCAATTGAGAACTACTTTCTTTCTAATATAAAATCATCAGCCACAGGAGTGTTGCAATTGAAATTTTCCACAGTGATTTCAGCTAGTAACTGTCAACTTCTTCCTCTTTTTATTTTCTAACCATTTTTCCTGCCCCCCCCCCCCCGTTTTAGCACTACAGGATAATGAAACAACAGTTAAATTGGGCTAGCTCTGAGTTTCAACCAAGATTTACGGTCTCCTCATCTCCCGGAGGGACTATAAAACCACCGATGACATCTCATTTTGAAATCGCTTGTATTAAGAGTTGGGTGTGGTGCAAAAGAGAACTCTGGCAGTGACATTTAGGGAAGTTCTGCACTTCAAAATAGAGCCCTTAACTCATATGAAGGATTTCTACCATAGCTGGGAGGTCTCCGCTAGGAAAATGATACCTTCTCCACCTCTCTTAATTTTATTCTACACCTTTTTGATATTTTTCCCCTCTAGATTTTGCTTTGGGTTTTAAACATTGCAGGCAGATTCTTCTTTGTGGCAGCATTAACCCTCAGATCCAACTCAGCCAAAATCATCACGGTAATAAAAGATAATAAACTGCCTTCAATTTAGAACACTCAAGGAGAAAGGGACAAGCCACAGGAATAGGAAGAGTGGGGTGGCTTTTCAGGGAACTGACCGTTTATTATTGCTTCGGACTTCTGTGGGCTCTGACACTGGGCAGAGAATGAGGAAAGGGAAAAGTTGGGCCTTGGGGACTTTCTGAAAGGCCCCCAGGTCGACTCAAAAAGCACAGCTAAGGGCTGATTCCCAGAGGCTCTGGAGTTGCTCTGTTTGGAAACCTCTTCCTGGAAAACCAAAGTCCAGCACCTCTCCACATCAGGCCAAAGAGAAAGGGGGTGGGAAGGCGCTGGGGAAGGAGAGTGGAGCTCAAAACAGCGAGTAACTGGGAGCTCAGGGGAGTGGCTGAGAGCCTTTCCTGCTGCGCTGCGCTGTTACACAAGAAACTTTCATGCACTGAGCTCTTACTCCGAGGATAAACTCTGAGGTCTGCAAAGCCTGGTGGGGCCGGGCGGGGAGGACCGCACTCTGAGCCCAGTGCTAGCGCCCCAGGGCTGGGCAAAGCCACCGCAGCCCGGGGGTAGTGTGGCGGGGAGAGCGAGCAGCGCGCGAGGTCTCCGAGCTGGGTCCTCACCTGTTCCAGCGGGCCACCTTCCTCCGGTAATACCGCAGCGCCTCCTGGCTGGCCAGAAGCAAGTCTTCCGGCCCGAGGAGAGGAGGCTCCTCCGGGACGTTGTACAGCGGGTGGGCGAAGAGGGCCTGCAGCTTGGAGCGCGAGCCGCCGCGGCCGCCGCCGTCCTGCTCATCCCGGAACCCGGCCCGGGAAAAGTTGTGCGCTCCCCCGCTGGGGTTCAAGGGGGCTGCGGCCGAGCGCAGGGCCGGGGAGGAGGCGCGGTCCGAGCACCGGCAGGCGGGCGGGCGCTCCCGGGGCCGCAGCTGCCGCTGCACTTGGGGCCAAAGGTGGAAGTAGAGGTCGGCGGAGAAGAGCGAGCCCAGCAGCAGCAGGGTCAGCAGGCGGTCCCGGCGCAGGCCGGGCATGGCCCAGCCGGGGCGAGCGACGGCGGGGCGCGCGGGCCGAGGGGTCCCCCGGGTGGTCGCGCAGTCTCCGGGGACCCGAGGGGGCGCCCGGGGGGCAGGCAGAAGCGGTGCCTGGAGTCCCGCGGTCCGGCTGGGACGGATGGGGGCGGAGTGCTCGGCGCACGGGATGGCACCCCTCCTTTCAGGGGTGCAGCCCCTGAACTTGGGGACCTGGTGCGGAGAGCGCCGCTTTTCCTCGCTGAGTGCAGACCCGGGGATGAGGTTTCCCAGGCGCCCACTTCTGGCGCCTTGCGCCTCTGCCCGGCTGCGGCAGGTGAAGGGGCCCGGGGCTCTCGCGGTCTGCCCGGCGGGCGGACGGGTGGCGGGGCGGGAGGCGACGCGGGGAGGAGCGCGGAGAGCGGTCCTCCGCAGGCAGTGCAGAGCCCGGGGCTGCTCTCCCGAGGATGCTGTCGCTCCGCCGCGGCTCCCTCTGCGGGCGGCGGGGACGCCCGTGTCCCACGCAGGCACGGCCGGCGGGAGTAGGGGTTTGGCGAGGCTGGGGAGCCTCGGGGCGAGCTCGTCTGCGCTCGCGTTCTCCCAGAGGCAGAGGTAACGCGGGGCCTCCTCCCGCCTGGCCCGGCGACCACACCTCCGCCCACTCTCAGCTGGCACCTGCCTCCTGGCCCTGCAGCTCGCCAGCCAACTCCCGATCCCGCTGCCGGCTCAGCCCTTCCACCTTCCACCCAATCCCCTTCTCGCGCCCATCCCCTTGCGCCCCAGGCCTCCCACGTTCCCTGCTCAGGGCCCAGGCCTCACGTTTTTTTTTTTTTTTGGAGGGGGCCAAACGATGGGGAGGGAGCGCTGAAACCTTTGATTCCATTTTTATTTTTTAGACAAATGACATCACGGTCCATTAAAAGCCTTTCTCCTGTAAGCTTTGCCAGATGTGTGCGTGTGCGTGCGTGTGTGCGTGTGTGCGTGTGTGTGTGTGTGTGTGTGTGTGTGTGTGTTGGGGGGGATCTTTTCTCTTTTTGTATCCTCCCCCAGGATACAGATTAGATTCGTGACAACTACACACCATATAGCTGGCGCGTAGTAGACGCTCAGGAAACACGCACTTGGCGTATTAAAAGGCTTGACCTTTAAAAAAAAGGCACCAGTTTTACCTAGAATTTTGATTTCCTGTTTGCAGGGAGTTTGACTCCACCTCTGCCTGTATTTTTAAAAGAGGAAATTGTTCTTGCATTGAAGGAGGGAGGGGCCCCAGATGAACTCCCTCCGAACTTCTGAGTCTAGCTTGGTGTGAAAGCAGTCCACCCAATAAATCCGGGGAGGACACGTTTAGGCTTTCTCCTGAGACTCTATGAGGTAATTTATATTCCTCCCCCACATTTTCCTTTGGAGGAAGAGGGAGGGGGCCCTGAACTCCTGGTTCCTCTCTTTAATGATCTGGGAATATACTAAAATTCAAATCTGACCCGGGAGGCAGCTCCACCCAGTTGGATGTTGAAGGAAGGGAATCTTTGGCCAGAGCCGGCTGCCTAAAGGGGCAAACCTTCCCGTGAATGTTACTTCTATTTTTTAGGCCCCTCTTTCCCCTTGCTGGGGTCACAAACCTGAGACATACTTTTGGACTTGTGTCATCGGAGTTATTTCTCCTGTGTTAGAGCAGAATATTTCTTGTGGAATTTGCCACCCTGTTATCTGGAAATGAAGGTAATGAAGAACCTAACCACCAGGGTTATGAGGAGGCCTGCATTAACAGAAGTCGGTATTGCTCATACCTTATGCCCAGTAAGTGTGAAACACGAGTTTGCTACAGTGATGGTTACTTCTTGGGTTGTGAAGCACACTAGGTTAGGTTAGAGTCTCTACAGGTGAAGATGAAGACGGAAATTGGGGCAATGCTGATTGATACCAGCCAAACAATATAAAAATTGCCAGCCAACCACCAGAAGCTAGGAAGGAGGCATGGAACAGATTTCTCACTTACAGCTTTGAGGAGAGACCAACTATGTCAACATCTGGATCTTGGACTTATAACCTCTACAACTGCAAGACAATGAATTTCTGTTGTGTAAGACTTCCAGTTTATGGTGCTTTGTTATAGCAGCTCTTGCAAACTAATACAGTCCCTGTTGGTGCCTCTCATGGAGCACTACCTCCTGAGCATAGACCAAGAGGGTTGCTCATCAGCACACACAGAACACTAAGGACACAACTGTCCATTTAGGAAATGCTAAAGAAATGCTTGCTGAGTGACAGCAGGGACACTGGCCATCTCTGTCACTATGGCCTCTCATACAGGGCCTTGTACACAGTAGGGACTTAATTATTGGTTATAATAAAATGACATTGCTTTGGACCCTACAGGAGACCCAGAAGCAATATCTGACACAGTTACTTCGTGGCTTCAAGCATCTTTTATGATCATTAGAGGGATGAGAGCTGGCTGTACCTACATCCAGTTAAGAAAAAGAGTGAGACAGTGCACAGAGCAGTTGAGGGAATCTGTGCCACTGCATGCATTAAGAGGAGCAAATGCAAAGAGCACTTGTGTTTCCTTCCAGTCTTGCTAAATACCAAGCACTGCACTTCCAAGAATTAAATCATGGAAACAACAGAGTCAACATTTAAACATGAGTTCCTCCGTCTGAAAAGATTATACTCTATTTTTATAATCTTGCACATGTTGCTTAAAACACGACTAGTCGTTTCTTGTTTATGTGGTTGATTTTCTGCACTAGAGTATAACTCCATGAGTGCCAGGCTGACGTGTTTTCTCTTTCCTTTTCCTATCTTGTTCACAGCAGGGCATACAAATGAGAATGGACAAATTCATGTAGAATAAATGGGTTTGTGTTCTTGTCGATGCGTACTGATGGATGGATGGAAGTGGGGAATGGTGAAGAATTTTATTTAAAGTAGAAACTTGGATTTATAAAATCTGGGCACAGATAAGTTACTATTATATTTAGCTTGAACACCTAATGGAATCTCAGTGGAACCATGGAAAGAGCAGTACGTAAGAGACTAATAGGAAATAACTGTGTCCATTAGAGTTTGTATGACGGTGCAGATGTGTGAAGGAGCAGTGTGACCTGCACCTCCTAGCTGTCTTGGCAAGAGAATAGAGAGGCGACTGAAATTACTATGTATGGAATATCTAGAATGCAGCCAGCTTAGGATGTGTTAGACTGGCTTGCTATTGCACCTGATGCCTTACTCTGAGTCAAAAAGTCCAGAAAGTTCTATGTGTGACCAAAACATGACCGGTTAACACAGACCAAAGATTTCCCAAAGTGCAGTCTGGGCATCAGAATTACCTACTTTGTTTATAAAAATGAAAATTCAAGGGACGTATCCTAGATTGAGTGAATCAGAATCTTTGAAAGTGGAGCCAGGAAGGTGCATTTTTTTTTAAAGAGGCTGACTTGTAAGGATCTGAAACACACCAAAGTCTGAGATAACTGGTGACATAAAAATGCTAATGGGAACGTAGAAGTGATTCCGACAGCCCAGCTAGGATGCACTGGATAGTGCTGGGCATGCAACCTGTAATCATGGAATCGTACGGGGGCTGTAGAGAGTGTGTTTGGCCCAGTGTAATCCATCAGCTCTACTAGGGAACAGAAAGGAATGCTTGCTGCCTGATCTTTACAAATGGTGGGTATGCAATATGATCCTGTTACAAAAAGTCATGACTCTATTTATCAGTAAATGTCCTGGCTGGGTGTGGTGGCACATGCCTGCGATCCCAGCACTTGGGAGGCTGAGGCAGGAGGATTGCCATGAGCTCAAGGCCAGCCTGGGCTACACAGCAAGACCTTGCCTCAAAAACCAAACCAAACCAAACCAAACAATTTCTTTTGGTACCAGGTGTTGTAACACATATCTGTAATCCCAGTTACTTGGGAGGCTGAGGCAAGAGGATCTCAGTTCGAGCCCAGCCTGAACAACGCAGCGAGCCTCTATGTCAAAATAAAAAGGGACAAGAAGGATGATGATATAACTCAGTGCTCTCTGGGTTTCATCCCCAGTACCACAGAAACAAAACAAACCCAAAGCAAAGAAAGAGAAAAGAAGTTATTCTCTTTGGAAAACTGAATTGCCTTCTTGGGGCCTCATTTTCCTCTTTTGAGACAGGAAGCATTAAAATCAATAATCTCTAAAGTCCCTTTCAGTTCCAAACAATGAAAATTTTATATTTTTGCAATAGCTATTTAATAATCAAGCTATTTTTGCACACGTTTATTTTTAGTAAAAATCTACATAATTAAGATAACAAGTCAGGACACTGTGTAAGAAAGAGGAAGAGTACAGGTTGGGAGTGAGAGAGTTTGCACTGTGGTCCTTGCTCGGTCATTGACTATCATGATGACATGGAACAAATTATTTTATTTCACTGGGCTTCATTTTCCTCACATGTAAAGGATTACTTTGAGCTAGGCAATTTCAAAGTTCTCTTCCAGCATTAATTTCTTCGAGAAAAGAAGATGAACTAAGGGCATTCTTAGACGAAAGAAAACTAAGAATTTATCACCAGTTAAATGCTGAAGGAATGCTAAACAAAATTTTCAGATGGAAGACAAATGCAGACAGGGAAACTGGAGCATTAGAAATGAAGGAAGAACATCAGAAATGGTAAATATCTGGGTAAGTCTAACAGATCATATTTTTCTTCTTAGATTTTAAAAATATGAATGATCATTGAAAGCAAAAACAACACTGTCCCATGTAGCACAGTTTACAACCACTAATTCCTTAGAGTTGGGAGGTAAAGGGACCTATATGCTGGGAAATGATTTGAATACTATTTGAAGTGTTAGGAATATTGACTCTAAAATGACTGAGAAACATAAATTTTTATACTGTATTCCCCAGAGCAACCATTAAAAATATACCAGAATAAAATAAAAATAAACATATTAAAATGGAACACTAAAATATAGAGTACAAACATGAAACAATTTATAAAATAGTAGAACTAAATGCAAACATAGCAATAATTACATTAAATGTAAATGTAAATGTAAAAGACAGAGCTTGTCAAAATGAGTTAAATAACAGCATTACACTGCTTATAAAAAGATTAAAGATAGAAAATGGTATACCAAGCAAACACTAATTAAGAGAAATCTGGGATGATTATATTAACATCAGATAAAGGAGACCTTAGAAAAAAAGAAAATATTAGGGATTTAAAAATAGTGCCATTGGGCCGGGGATTTGGCTCAGTGGTTCCGCCACCTGCCTCGCAAGTGCAGGGACTGGAGTTCGATCCCTGGTACCAAAAAAAAAAAGTGCCATTACATAATGATAAAAGGGAAAACTCACCAAGAAGACACAATAATCTTAAATGTGTATGTCTTTGGCGACAGAAATTCAAAGTATATGAAGTAAAACTAGTAAACCTGAAAATGTAAATGGATGAATCCAACAACTATAGCTGGAGACATTAATGTTCTTTTCTCTGAAACTAATATAGCAAACAGGCAAAATTAATAACATTGTAGAAGAACTGAACACTGCTATTGGCTAACTAGTTCTAATTAATTGTAGAACATTCCACCCAATAACAGCATTATGTTCACATGACATTTACCGTGATAGGCTATTATAAAACAAGTATTAAAAATTTTAAAAAACCATACAGAATATTCTGTCTGTCCACAACAGAATTAGATTAGAAATCAATGACAGAAAGATAACTGA